AAAACAGCCCTTCACAGACAAATTAAACATATTAACAGGTTAAATGGACTTTCATGTAATTGGAGCTTTAAAATGTCCATCTTTCTCCCTCCCCTTTAAATTTAATTGCTAGTCTACTTCAGGCTTAATTAATCAAGCAGTTCGGTGTCATCTCACTTTGTCGTTTTTTTGCTTGTTATACAGATGTTCGGTTATTGGAACTCCCAGCCAAAAACTAAACAACGTTAATTTATCTCATAGTTGGCTGTTGATAATTGCAAATATACAAGAATGAATTGCAGGAAAAGCTGCATCCCGTCTAGGGTGTACCCTGCCTTGGGTCTTAGCGTTTGCGCGTGTTCGGTGCACAGAACCATCGCAAACAGCCAAATCCATAGCTGCACAGTATATAGTATGTATGATTGATGGAAGTTGCCCTCCTTATACGATAAAGTACTCATGCATTGTCTTTAATTTAAATAACATTGATCAACTGAAAGAACCAACAGGTATTCCAAACTTACAGTAATCAGTTAAACAACACAAAACTCTCCAGTGCGTCAAGCGTATACTTGCACGTTCCCTCTGTGCGTCTGTGCTTAGCCCAACCCAGCTCCACTTTAATGCAACTGGCCGTTGTGAAAGTTGCACTTAACCTTCACCTCGGTTTCATCCCACTCTTCTCTTTCATCCAAGTCCCTGTCAGCCAGCCCGAATGACGAATACGCGAATTTGAGAATGTTAAGTTAGACCTAACTGCAATAATAACCAATTGACAAAAAGGAGAAACTTTAAGTAGGCCAGATTGTGTTAACCTAAAGTAGGATTTCACAGAACATCATAGGTAGCACGTCTTCTCTTTCAACAAGCTGCTCGCAATCAAGCAAGCACAGTGGGTCAAACGGCCTCCATTACTTTCTAACCTCAGGTTGACAATTCAATCAAATTTCCCAAGGGTCCAGAGACAGACAAATGACATTATTAATGAGAGTTCAAGAAATTTCTTTGAAATACAAGATCCACATCAGGCCACAAAATTAATAAGATAATGTTAAAACTTGTGTGGAAACTACTTTGCTTGTTTGTGGAGCCTAAAACCTTTTGTTTTAACATTTAGGGTAGGGCTTCCAGACTAAACTTCTGAATGGCCTAGTCTTCTCTGAGCCTGAGTAATCGATTCAAATATAAGATTTTTATTAAGGTCTTTTATGGTTGTTTACTCAAATAATTTGCTTAATTATAGGCACAGTTATAAAAAAAAACACTTAGAAGTGTGAGGATCGATGACCCCTATGATGCTAGGTTTGACTGAGGTGTTCTGTTTCTTCTGAATTGGAAAATCGCACAGCTAACACAAAACAGCGGAATACAAATAAGGAGGTACAGTATAGTGCAGTCTTCCTCCATGTCTACTGTACCTCCATTACCTGCCAAAGATCTTGTTCTTCTTTTGTTTGTGATTGAAAAGAAAATATGAAAAATCAGTCCTCCTGACGTATTACAATTCTGCTTATTGAATGAGTAGACCTGTGGAACTGTGGAACTTTCCCTCCAGGCCGGGAATAGAGACATAGGAGTGGCAAAAAAAAGATTAGATTATCCGAACAAGAAAATTAATCTCCGGATTAAGAAAGTGTGTAGAGTTCATTTCATTTATCTTTTTGTTTTAGTTGCTGTATTTTGTGCTATTTCTAAAAGCAAAAGTTTAATGAGTCCGATGCAAAGTGCAATGATAAAAACCTGAGGCAGTATGACTAAAGAGGGCCTATGTTTTCTATATGGTGGTGAATCGCTAAGGAAGACCTCACCCTCAGCAGGGTCCATGGTCCAAGTGGAGACAATGTTGTGGTTAGTCAGAAGTTCAACAGCTAATCAATAGCCAAAACTGTAGTTAGATTCTCAGCTGTGTCTAGTGGGAACGTAAGCTTGATTCCTTCTCAGAGCCAGGCAGTACAAAAGCAATTGCATTAGAGCTCTCAAACGATGGAAACCAAACTGACTTGAGCTAATTTATAAAATACTTTTATTTGGTCCTTGAATGTTTTCTTCATAGAAAACATTCAAGGATAAAAAGCCATGCTGAAGCACTGCAGGTCTGGAATGCCCTCCAGTCGTCTGAGACTGTGTGGTTTGCTATTTAAGGACAACATAGGCCTGTAAATGTAAGTATTGGCTGTGCAGAATGGTTTGTGAAGCAGCTATTTGTGTATCTCCTGTGGTCCTCAATTACAGTTAAATATGTAAGCATCTCTACAGCTACATGTAGTTTTATCAATCAGTACTGACAAGCTTCAAAACATACACGTTTAGGTATTTCACTAATACATCTATAAATGCTTTGTAGTAGCTTGTGTTTAACTTGAGACTCTTGAGGGAAATTTTGATTTTGATTTATTAGAGTTTATATAAGTGTAGAATTTGTTTTAACATCTTGACAGGCTGTTAAGTACTGCCTCAGCCAGAATGTGTGTGAGCACATGATGGGGATGTTGTGTTCTGCTCCTGAACAACATGATTATCCTGTGGAAGCAGATACGGTTCTTGTTTCTTGTGGTGCATGTGTGCCGAAGAAAGCGCACAATTTTGAACTTGTGCATTTTTATCACACCCCAGTAAGATCTATGGTGTAAGTCTGTCGAGATATCCTTGTTATGCTACTGGGAACCAGGATATGAGTGACATTGCTGTGTAGGGGTGACATTTCTAGCCTGTCTATTGCAGGCTGGTGGTTACTGCTTGCCTGTTACTTACTAACATACAAACTGTCTTGTGCCTGTGGTGTTGTGGCAATGTAATATTGTATCCTGATCATATTGATCATCCAGCACACAACACCCCAGCTAGCTCTTTCTGGTTTCTGTGGTGTCAGTTTGTGATTTGGTGACTGTCCTCAAATTTGAGAGAAATAAAATATGAAAATAGTTTCTCATCTAATCAACTCCCTTGCAAAAATATGTCACCGAGAAGGCTAAAAAAAACTAATCGGTGTACACGGTGCTGAACACTACTTTGTCTAAAATTGCAACCTTGTTTATTGGTCACCCTCTCTGTAGTGTTGGGTTGAAGGTTAATTTTTCCTTCCCTGACCCAGATCTGTGTCAAGGCCAATGCTGAATTGCTCTCTTAACTCATCTTACAGTAAGACAGTTAGACATTATTCTGAATTTTCTTGTGATGAGAGATATTCTGGATGTTTCCTCCCTGTTATTTCTCGGATAACATGATATCACATGATTAGTTTTTCCTCCGTTGTATTGTGTTAAGTGCATAATTCTTCCCTTGGTGTGCAGTGAAGGTATATTATTTATTATAAGATTTACTAGATCTTTTTTAAAATGCAGCAGACACTAGATTAATAAGGCAGTTGATATTAGTGGGTCAGTTCAAGTCACAGATCTATTTTGTGACACAGAGGAGAGAATATGGAAATGTAGGAAGATTTGTCTGACCGCCTTTAGGCTAGTCATCTTTTATGATCTCACTGACTGCACAGCCACATACCGGAGGTTCAGAGTCAATTGGAAGAGATCTTCCTCACTCTCGGCACAGCCGACCTCCAAGCATGCGACAAGCCACAGGGGTCCCTGCTGCAGAGTACTGGCTGATGCTTCCCATCCTACCCTCAGCTTAGGGCACCCTGGTCACGGTCAGCTAGTCACATAACTCAGACTCCAGCAAGCACGCCAGACGCCAGCAGCCATATCACCCTACAACTCCCAGCTGGCAGCCCACTGAAGCTCAGCAGGTGTGAGCCTGGTCAGTACCTGGATGGGTGACTCCTGGGAAAAACTAAGGTTGCTGCTGGAAGTGGTGTGAGTGGGACCAGTAGGAGGCGCTCACCCAGTGGTCTGTGTGGGTCCTAATGCCTCACTATAGTGATGGGGATGCTAAACTGTAAAAAGGCGCTGTCCTGCAGATGAGATGAGATGAAAAACCAAAGTCTTGACCTTCTGTGGTCACTAAAAATCCCATGGAGTTCCTTGAAAAGCATAGATGCGTTAGCCCGGTGTCCTGGCCAAATTTCCCTTTGGCCCTTACCAATCATGGCCTCCTAATAATCCCCATCTCTGAAGTGGCTTCGTCACTCTGTTCTCCTCCCTACTGTTAGCTGGTGTGTGGTGAGCATACTGTACACTATGGCTGCCGTCGCATCATCCAGCTGGGGCTGCACACTGGTGTTGGTGGAGGAGAGTCCCCATTACCTGTAAAGCACTTTGAATGGAGTGTCCAGGAAAGTGCTCTATAAGTGTAAGGAATTATTAGATTCAGACCTCTGTGCCAGGATCACGAGTTAATCCAGCATTAGATCGAGTCCCTGCTGGGGGAGCCATTTCAGTGATTTCATAGACCCTCAGTGTTTTCAAACTGCAGCAACTTTAGAACTATGCTTTACCACTTGGTGCCATTCATTAGAAGGTTTTTTTTTAATTATTTTTTAAATGAAACAAATTCTAAGGCTCAAAATATCTTTAATAAAATGCTGTGTTTCTGTTGGAAAATCATGAAAAATTATCAACCCATTCTCTTAATCCATTCTCCGTACATAAATCAGTGAGAGGCAAAACAGGGTTTCTCTGAGCTGTTTAAAGCATTCCTTTTTTATTTAAAGCACTAATAAGTCTCTTAAGGGTTTCACCAGCTTTGAGCAACATAGGCTTTGCAAATATGTAAAAATCCCAGAGTTGACATGAATCAGAATACTGTTAATGAGGAGCTGCTGATATGTTTATTGTTGCTGCTGTCTCAAAGCTGAGAGCTATTAAATGCTATCTTTCTTTATATAAAACTATTATAAAACTGTTTAGCATAAGCAGTTATTAGATAATTATTTACTTATGTGTTTTACCATAAACTGCTTTAATTCACCAGTAAACATCACTGGTTGTGTCTCAGGATCAGGTACCCAAAAATAAATTTACATAGGCAGTATTTCAATGCCTAATCTTTAATGTTATGTGTTGACAACAGATAAAATATTGAAGTCGCGTAACAAATGATTGGTTCTCTTTATCTCCTTGCAGTCTGTGCATGGTACCTGTAACTCTAATGCTTTCGAACTGCTCCCTCGCTGGAGTTGATGTTATCATAGACTTGCGTCATAAAGCCACAAGGTAAGAAATATAAATTATATGCAGATTAAAACGTAACAAAATAATTCATTTTGTATCACATTGGTGGTAGTTGATAAGAGAACAGTGACTTACCAAAACTAAGTCTAAGTGATTAGGGTTTTTATTTAAAAACTTTTACTTTTAAAAACTATGATATAAAGAGAGTTCAGATTAAAATATTTGTGATAAATGGTACTAATAAAGTGTACTTCAGTGCTATAATGGCTTTATAACATGTTTTATACATAATCAAAAATCAGCATTTCCAAATGGAAAAAGAACTTATGAAGTGTAGTTTTTTATAAAAACTTGGCTGGGTATTAGTGTTTAGTGCCCTTTTCCATGACATACTATATGGTTTTGCTGTCATTTTTTCCAAATAATAAATGCCTTTGCATAAAAAACAGCATGTAAATCCCATGCAAATAAGCTTCATTAAAATTTTAAACAGACTGAATCAACCAAATAAAAGGGAGGTTTCTGATTTCTAGACATTTCAAAGCCAATAATGCTATTCCAAACAGCAGACGGCACTGCTGGAGAACCATTCATACAGTATGCTTTAATTGCATAGTTTAGAACATTCAATATCTGTCGCTCTATATTCGCCATAAAAATTATTGAACAAAATAGCTCATAAAGTAGGTTTGCATAAGTAAATGTGAGAACTGGTTTAAAAAATTTAGTACAGTATCATCTGAACTGCACCTTTCATTTTCTACAGAGAGGAATAATGTTACAGAATGACAATATTTAGCAGCTCATCAGGTGAAACTGCTGTAATGCCCAGCACAGCACAATACAAGACATTCATGACAAAAATAAGGCACAATCTGTATACATCTAGGTTAATATTTGATGTTCTCAAATATGTAACAGAAATTCTTAACATTTTTTTCTCAATTTTTGTCTTTCTCCCTTGCCTTCAGTCCTGAGACATTAGAAGTCCACGGTTCTTTCACTTGGCTTGGGCAGACCCAGTACAAGCTTCAGCTGAAAGCTCAGGAAGTTTACAAGCTTCATCTCAAAGCCTGCTTCATCCATGCTGGGGTCTACAATCTTGGGACACCTAGGGTTTTTGCTAAACTGACAGATCAAGGATCAATGTGTGAAACTAGCCAGCAAAACTCTATGCCAGCATTAATCATAATCAACAACATCTGAAACTAACTTTCGGATCTCAATTCAGATAAATACTGGAAACAGATATCATTTTGTACTTCTTAAAAATTCCTGCATCAGACTTGCTTGTATAGATTGCAATGGCAAGATCTTAAACTTATTTTATGTGTCACCTGCAAAGCATTATGGACTTTTAAGTGTGTATGTGATGATTTTTTTCAGCATATTTATCTTTCATCTCAGCTTGTACCTAGTCTTTTTTATAACAATAACTAAATATTTACAGCTGGCGGAAGATGAACAGCAGCTTTTTTGTCTGCACTAATTTGTCTTCCTCACATTCTGTTTGTGGCTGTTTAGTTATGGTTCTATGGTTTAAAATAAAAGGAAAACTATCTACCGGGCTGTATTAAACAGACATTCAATCTCCATTGGGTTAATTCTATATTGTATGAGAGGAACATGTCTTTGGTATAAAAGCAACTACAGCAGAAACTAGATTTCATTGGTTGCATTTTATTTTTTATTACGAATCCCGTAATTAGACAATTAATGTTATTTAAATTTGATCATAACTCATACATGAAAAGGAGGATCAATCAACTAATGCAGCCAACGATGAAAAATCAACCCTAAAATATTGAGGGAAACTGTGCTGATCTCACAAGCACGTTATTTTAATGTTCTATAAACGAATCATTTCCCTTACTGTGTAACTTGACCATTTGATTAAGATGTTATTTAAGTGTATCTAGACTGCTTTTCAGAAAATGATGTAATATATTTATAACAAATTTACTGTAAATAGAATAAAACATAACCAAAATACATTGTGAATTTGATCTCATTAGTCCTTTTCTTCATGCTGTAACTGTGTGTCAGTAATGATACTGTCCTCTTTATACTAACAGGTGTATTGTATTGAACAGTCGTTTCTAGGGAGATGCTTTAATGTACAGTAGGTTACATTTTTTTTAAAAGCCACCAAATGTAAACTTCAAATACTCCAAAAATTTTAGTTTCAGATTCTAAATTAAGACTAATTTGTATATCTGCTGGGGTTGTGGGTAGATGTGAAGTCTCTGTCTCGAGTGGCTGCACCACTGTCCGGTCCTTGTACTGGTAGCTGAGGCTGGGAGCCGCTGGCTGATCCAATTAGTTGTTCCCGTCGTTGGTCTTCGTGCTCCCCTTCAGCCGGTGACGTCTAGGTAACACTAGCTAGAAGGTACCCTTTCTCAGGCTTGATGCCAAAGGATTTTGTGTCTGGCTTTTGTCTGTGACTTCGCGGATTCTGAATATGTGAATTCGGTCCCCTCATGGTTTTCTCCCTTTAGGACTAAAGGGTGACCAAAACTGAACACGATATTCTAAATGAGACCTAATGCATTGTAAAATGTTGACATATCACATCACTTGGTTTAAATTCCACACCTTTAACTGCGTATCCAATTTTCTCTTTGCCTTTTTATTGCTACCCCAGATTCTCTGGGGAGTGAAAAGGTTGTTTGTCATTTTCCAGTTTAGATTTCTGGTTTTGTGTTACCTGCCTGCAGAACCCTACACTTGCATAAATGAAATATCTGCTTGGAGTTCATCCAGGTCTTATTTAATGTAGAATTTGTTTTGCAGCTTCTACAGTGTTTGCTAATCCTCCTGCTGTGCTGTTCTCTGCGAACTTGACTAGTTTGCTAACTTTACCAAAATCTTAGTCATGGGTAGAAATTACAAAGAGGATCCCTGTGTCATTCCAATTTTGCCACCTACATCTGTAAATTAACCTCTTATCTGTACTCTTTCCTTTCCATTAACCACCACTAAATCCAAGCACACGCATCCTTTACAAATTCTTTTAAGATGAAGATCTTAATCTAAAGCCAAGTGAAAATCTACATATACTGTATATATCCCATTATATCATGTCCTGTTGTTTAAAGAACTCTATCCTATTAGTCTCAAGAGACTGCTGGAAGAGTGTAGATAAATGGCAAATGAATATCGTCTCGTCTTTATTCAGTGCGTTTTAGTTTTTAAAGCTTGGAGCTCAGCACTTCTTTGGAAGAACAATGCATGCATATCAAATCTTATTAGATTTTTTTAAAGAAAAAATATTCAACAGCTTTGAATTGTTTAGGCATGTAAAATTGCATTTTAAGTTAGTTTCACCACCTGGCTTGACAAACCTGAAAACTGCGATTTTACATATCCGAAAGTAGTGTTCAGAAATGTGCATATAAAGGCGAAGTTAAATAACTTGATCAGGTTCTCGTGAGATTTTAATTGCTGGAATATAAAGGAATATGAAGGAATATGAATGCTAATGTTTCATCAACCATAAGCCTTAAAAATTAATATATTTTAAGTGACGCATGGTTTGTTTAGATTCTGTCAATTTCCTATTGGATCAAACAAATATGTAAATGGACTATAATATTTAATTTAAATTAATGCTTGGAAAATAGGATAAATCAATTTAAAGAATTTTTATACAACAAAATGTAAAATTGCACTTTGAGGGATAATTTGTTTTAAGATTTTTTTTTAATTCACAATGGGAAGGCAGGATAAGAGAGTGTCTATTTTGTTTAGTTGGAAAATAAGATCAAAAGAATTTACACACTGAATTGTATACAATGTCCTGTAGATCTGTTGGCCTTGCTTGTGCGTTAAACAATTTTCATATCCCTTGACTTAAATTATGCTCCTTTACCTATATATCCTAGCATTTTGTTAGACTTTTTAATATCTTTACCATATGTGCTAACTTCAACATCTCCTTTTCATAAGTAGCATCTTCTAGGACAGCATTTTCCATTTAGTATGTATACATGTTTATTATCTGCATGCAGTCCCTTCACTTGTCTACCTTAAAAGTCATCTGCCAGTTACTCAATTACTTACGGTATTTCACCCCAGTGTGAGAATTCACCACTTATCTTTACACTCTGTTTTCTCTTTAATAACCAATTCTTAATCCAAACACACAATTTGCCCTGTGTGTATCCATCCCTGTTGTAACTTTCTGAAAGAGCTCTAAACAAGTTGGTTATTCAAGACCTACCTTTTTCTAAATCCATGTGGATCATCTCCTGGGATAATTATTTTCAGATCCTCTAGTTCTAAGAAATAAGTATCTGTAGCATTAAATAAAACAGAAGTCAGATTTATTGGTCTACAATTACTTGATTCATTTTTGTCAACCTTTTTGCAAATGGGTTCATTAACGATTCCCCAGGCCCTGGGTACATCCTCTGTCTTGAGTGACTGTTGAAAGAGCCGTATCCATGACTTCTGAATAACATCTTGTTTCCTCGAGTAAAGTTGATAAGATACCATCAGGCCCTGGGGGGTGATTAATCTTTGAGAGCTTCTATTGCCTCTTCTATGCCTCTTGCCTCTTCTATGATGATACTATCCAATGGAGGACTTTGACCTTCCAATGTCTGAGGCATGTTGTTGACTTCTTCCTTCGTGATCACCTGAGTGAAGTATTCGTTAAGCTATTTCTCCTTCATAGTCTTTATCCTGCATAAATCTGAGTTTGCACAAAAGTTGATTGCGTCCTCAGTTCTATTTTGCCTCTTGTGTATATCTGCTCTTGTGTGTGCATGGTCTGAAATAATTTCCACTGTGTGTTTTCACACTGTATGTCGGCATTGTTTCCCTTTCAGTCACAGCTGAAAAGCTTGAATTATGGTTTTATTGTTAAAGTGTGTAGAAATAATAACACTGTAATAGTGTGAATTTGTGATATCTGCGCTTTGGTGGATGTTTCCAGTAACTGAGTGCACTCTCTGGACAGCATCCTGAACTACAGAACCGTGGCACCGACAGAGGATGCAAGCTGGACTGAACCAGCAGTTTCCCGCGTGGTAAATAATTTCAGCAGAAAATGCTTGTTAACAGAGCATCCTGGGTATCAAAAGGCTGAATAGTAAAGCTTTTACTGTTTTTTAATTTCCATTGCAATATTCCTTTCAGTTTCTCTCTTGGCTCATTGATTATCCTGTTATATTTTACTTATGATTCATTGTACGTATTATCTTTAACTTGATATTCATTATAATCATTTTTCGAAAGCGCTTTATTTTCATCCATCCATTTTCTTACCGTTTTATGCAATTCAGGTTGACGGGGGAGCTGGAGTCTATCCTGGCAAGCAGTGAGCGCAGTGCAGGGTACACCCTAGACGGGACACCAGTTCATCACAGAGTACACAGACAATATGTACACAATCACACCAGGGCCAGTTTTCCCAGAAGCCAGTTAACCTACCAGTATGTCTATGGACTGCAGGAGAAAACTGGAGCACCAGGAGAAACTCCATGCAGATCGCACCCCATCTCTGAAATTGAACCCTGGGCCCCAGTGTGGAATTTAGCCATTCTTAAGAACAGTGGGATGTCAAATGACCAGTTACTTAGAATGGCATATCCTGCAAAAGTATGTATATCCCCAATAGATGGGGAATAATGTTCCCCATCACCATCTTGGGACACAGCTTTGAAAATGCTGGTCCACTTACAGCAGCAAATGGGTTCAACTTACTCATCTTCGAGATCAAGCCACAAGAAGAAAACACTGCTGTTGTATCATAAAAACAGGAAAGCACTTTTCTCAAATGATAACCCATCCATCTTCTCACTACTTTATCCAATTCAAGGTCATGGTGGCCCAGAGTCTATACTGGGAAGAGAAGGATGCCAGTCCATCACAGGGCACAGACAGACATGAACAGGCACTCACTCTCGCCAGCTTTTCCACAGACCAATTACCCTACCAGTATGTTTTTGGGTTGTGGGAGGAAACCCATGTGAACATGGGGAGAACATACAAACTCCACACAGATAGCACCCTGGGAATTGAACCCACTGCAAGCAAGTGACGCTAACCATTGAACCAACGTGCCAACTCGCCACCCACAACATTAACTATTATAACGATTAGAGTATCTTCAAACTCCTTTCTTCAGTATTTTTAATGTCGTTTTTTTCTACTTTTCTTTACAAAGTTCCTTTAAAATATCTAGCAAATCATGTCCTGAGGAAAAACATTAATTTGAATTTTGATTTTGGATGCTGTTATGTTTGTCTGCTAAAACAGCGGGGAGAAACACAGAGGTGTATTTGTCTGGAAAAACTAAATAATGAGCGGATGATCATTTTTGCGAGTTCCGATAGATTTTCTGTTTCTCGGTTCATTTTTCTTTTTCCTCTTTACAAACACCCCCACAAGCCAGAGATTACAGAGCAAGGTCAGGTTCATTAATTTTCCAGGTCAAAATTGTTGGTTGGGCGGTAAATAAGCATTGAAAATTAAAAGACAAATTAAAGATGCAGAAAGCACAGACTTACATTTGAACATTTGTGCCGAACATGTGGTGGTTGGTTAAGGGTAATAAAATCAGGGCCAGTCAATATTTTTTATACTGTATTCTGAACTGTAAATATAAATGACTGTAAAAGATTGCTAAGTGCACTCTAAATTATCACATTTTAAATTTAAACAGTAGTTTAACTATCAGTCTCAGCAACTGCAGCATTGCTGATGAATTAGTCTTGGGGACAGAAAGCAACATCAATTCCCGGCCAAGATTCATAACCCAGATCCTGCTGTGACTCTGCTTATAGTGAAGAATGATTGGCCTGGACACAGCAGGGATCAGATTATTACCTGAACCCTTCGAACCCCTTCTGAAAGGTCTGCAGTAAATCTGCTCATAAGTGATATTCAGTTCCATTCAAAATACTTTATTTGTCTCCAGTAGGGGGACGATTTAAGCAGAAAGCAGTGCAGCGCACAACACATGAAAGCAGAAAAAGCTTAGAAAAAAAGTATATACTGTACTTGGATG